ATGTAATGAAATAAGATTCTATTGTTCAAAATACAAAGCTGGATAAGGGAGTAAAATATACAAATTGTATGAGATACCACTAGTGTTAAGTATATCATGCCACGTGAGGAATGTATGGCTTTGGAGCTATGACTCTCACCGCTAATGTTTCTCATGACTAATGTTTTCTACATCATGATTCTGATCTCACACCCTCCAATTCAGATTTGAAGGTTGCTCCGTTCTGGACTTTTTTTTATTCACTTGTGGGATGTAGGATCACTGGGTGTCCAGCATTTATTGCCCATCCCTATTTGCCCTTGAGAAAGTGGTGGTGAGCTGCCACATTATCACCAAGTTCTGGCAAGATAGTGGTCGAGTAGGTCTTTTCTTTTCATTTCTTTTCTTCTTTTTCTCTCTTCTCTTACTTTTTTCTCTCTTCTATTTTATTTTACTTACCTCTTGGTGAAGAGCTCGGTCATGGCGATGGCATCGTTAGTGGTGAGTAGGCCCAGCAGCACAGACTCCTGGCGACAGTGTCAGAGGGAGGGCTGGGCCCAGTCGGAGACCCTGCGGCATCAGCGGTGGCTGCATCAGCGAGGTGGGCCCAAAGTGGACTCATGGCAGTGGCATCACACTGCATGATAGGACAGTGCTGATTGGTTTGCATGTGGACTCTGCTGCTGCCGAGTTCAGGCTGGTGCGCTACCAGGCAGCATTGGCGGCATCTGCGTTGGCAAGATCCAGCAAGGACTCAGAGTGGTGAGGATCTCAGTGGAGGCAAGATGGCAGCGAAGAGTGACAACTTTCATTCCAGGGGCAGTCGCCTGGTGAAGGGAGCTCATGCCTGGTTACCAGGCCATGACAGCAAACTTAGCAAGAACGACTGTAAAGCTGGACACTTTCTTTATTAATTCATTGTTCTGCCTTTATATTCTATGTTTTGGCTTATTTTTCTGTGTTTTAAGATGTCACTGGAGAGTGGCCAGACTTTACACTGTATTTTGTAACAAAATACAAATGACAAATAAATCAAAATAAACCTTGAACTGCTGCAGTCCATTAAATCGATAAAAATTGATTGCTGTGATTAATCAACAGTGACACTCTCAGCTATGATCTAATTGAAAGGCAGAACAGGCTTGAAGGGCTAAATGGCCAATCCCTGTTTCTATTTATCATGTGACTACTGAGCTGGCTGAAGACAAACTAATTGGATCTATATTTGCCATCTAAAGGTATCTACAGTGCAGCTGTTAGGTTGTAGTTAGTGAAAAATATTAAATAAAAAATAATATCATGATATTTTATTGTAAGTTACACGACAGCAGCATACAGCTGGTTGTTTGGTAGAGAATTTGAAATATTAATGTAAAAGACATATTTGTTTGAAGTTTATATACAATAAGCTTCTGAATAAATACATCATTTGATTTGATTTAATGTAACGTGTACTTAAGTACAGTGAAAAGCTTTGTTTGCAAGCAGGACAGGCAGATCATAGTAAGCAAGGACATATAGACCATAGGGTGAAAAGAACACTTGAACAGAGTAAGGTATACAAGTTACACCACATAGGACGTGCACTAGGCAAGACCAACATTGACAAGATCAGCATTATTTGAACTTAGAGAGTCTATTCATCAGTCTAATAACGGCAGGGAAGAAGCTGTTATTGAACTGAGCATCAGGTTATTTTTCCTGCGTAAAAGGTGATTGTATGTTGCTATATTGCTGAAAAAAGACACATTTGTCAAAGGTTTCTGTCTTGCATTCTTCAGCACCATTCACAAGAACGCCAATTCAAGGAGGAAAGCCAACAGTCACACTGTATGAAAGGACAGTGCTGATTGTTTTACAAGTGGACTCTGGTTGAGGCATTGTTGTGGAGAATGTACCGGGGAATACTGATTGGTAGCTAACTACTGGGGTTTAAAAATTTTAAACCAGGCAGGTTGACTCAGATTGGTCAAAGCACTAACAATCCTAAATTGGTTATTTGCTTGATTCTTTGCACACTCAAGTTAATTCTGAGAATGCTGGATTATTCTGAGTGTGTGAAGAATTACACTGACAACTAAGTTGGGATTGTCAGTCAGATGTACAGTGCAGTGCATTTACATGTACTGGAAGCTATGTAGATTAATAGACAAGGCCCTGTTATTTGCACATAAAAGGAACAAGTACTCACACTGTGCCTGTCATAACTGAAGAAAATAGGTAACCGGTATTCATTGGCTCATTTTTCATAGCAATGTGCTGACCAATTTTGTCTCTAAGCACACAGCTATGCAACCATGAAAAACACCATATATGTCGATCAGCATGCCAATAAATGGCTCTACTTCTGTAGAACCTCAGAGGTTCCTGTAGCAGCAAAACTGTTACAGGGACATTGGCCTTGATGGATCAGAATTAACCTGCCTGGTTTAAAATCCCAACAAAGCCTGGTGGTTAACTGTCAGTCAACAGTAATCAGTGCGTTCTCCATAGCAATGCTTGTCCTTTGATAACTTTGTTTTCGCTTTACAATGGTATTCTTGCAAATTGTCCTGATGTAAAGTGCAAGATGAAAAGATTCTCTATAATGTCTTTATTCAGCACTGCTTATTGATAAAATTAACCTGTACTGGCATGTGATAACACAAACAAAACCATAAATTGCTGGAAAATCGCAGCAGGTCTGTGGAGAGAAAGCAGAGCTAATGTTTCAGGTCCAGTGACCCATCCTCAGAGCAGCTGATTAATGCACAGGTCTTCTTCTGTTCTGGTGTGGCTGGCTTCTCTCTTTTTCTCACCTACGCTCTTGCAATAATGCCCCTTACTTGCTTCTGAGTGAAACTTGACTTTTGAGAACTGATTTTGCCTTTTTGCTGCTCCCACAGCTGCTGCGGTCTTCCTCTGGTTGTAATTATATTTCAGCTGTTAATTAATTGTTTCTTCTTAAAGCACGAATGCCCTTAAGGTCGTAAATTCACTTGGTCCAATTTTGTTTATCTTCTTCTCGGTTTTCTAGATTACGTCTCATTATGGTAGGGGTCAGATCTGCCCTGCTGGAACGATGTAATATTTTCACAGATGATTTTCCCAAATGTTTGTAGTGCTCAGTAATGGTTATTTGACCTAATTTCCTCCTACCAATCCTCCTTTCCCTTTGCTGTGTCTTGGGCCTGTCTATTCTTTAGGGATAGAGGATGCACCAACATAGAGTATCTACAGAAGATGTACAGTTCTTTCATGACAAAGAGGTTTAGTGTTTGGTAAAAATATGTCCAATTACATTTTGTTAAGCATAAGTACTGGGGCCTTAGGGAACTGGTAAAGATAGGCTTGCTTCCTCCACAAGCTAAAGTAGAACTCCTTGTCTCCCCTCACAGACTGTATGTGACATCAAATAGAATGAATGGAGCCAATGTAACATAAACATTAATCCCTTCAGAACCATTACCTTACGCAACAAGTACTTTTTGGATGATGTCTATGGATGCCTGGAGCATACCTATTTGTTGATTTTATTTCTTCTCCTGGTTCAACTGTAGAATCATCAGTTGAGATTATTATGATTTTAATAGAATTTGACACACAGCTTCAAAACAACACAAAACTGAAAATGTTGTCCCTCAGTGCATAATAGGCCTACAACTTCACAGTGGTTGTAGATGGAATATCATTCACTCTAGTTGGCAATATCCTGAATACTGTTGATTTGCTGCTGACTGACTATATTTGTAAAACAAAATTTTTAAACCCTTGTTAAAAGTGCAAAAGATGTTGACATTGAACTTTCAGCAGCTTGCTGCAGTGAAGGTCATGAATATTAGAAACATGTCCTCTTATGACAAGTGAGGAGAGGTCATGGTTCCCCTCTTCTCTTTAAGATGCCTTGGTCATTCACAGCAGTTTCTTAAACATTTTTCTTTTTAGCTATCACGCTTCAATTAAACATGATTAGCAAGAGTCAAAAATGAAGGAGAGCCAATTCCAAGGTTTTATTAAGGCAAATGCAGTAACAAATCATAGGAGTCCTTTTGGTTACGAGAATGAGATCCAAATCGGTTTCAATTGTTTAGCTGATAAATAAAACAAAGAATGGTGCATGCTGGAAACAAATAAAAACAGAAATTGTGGGAGAAAGTCAGCAGGTCTGGCAGCATCTGTGAAGGAAAAACAGAGCCAATATTTGAGTCCAGTGAACCTTCTTCTAGAACCCTGAGACTTGAAACATTTACTCAGTTTTCTCTTCACAGATGCTGCCAGACCTGCTGAGTTTCTTAGACAATTTTTTTTTTGTTTAGCTATTGATCTGCTTCTTAAGCTGTGGTGAAGGCAGCAGTTCACAGTGAATGTTGATTTTTCCTCGGTACTTTTTCACCAGCACTGCTTTCTGCAGTTAAGATTGAGACTGAGACAAAGATATATATGAAAGAGAGAGAGAGAGAGAGAGAAGGAAGAGCTTCAGTATCACGGTTGTCATCAGTCCATTTTGTTCGTCTTCATTTTCTTTACTCAAAGGCTGCTTTGTGAATTCTGACGTCTGTGTTATTGTTTCATTTCAAGTAGGCAACTTGTTATCTCACATAACTGATAATGCAATTAGCATTGCAAGGGAGTATGAAACATGTGTTGCAAATTTGTTTGCATTTTAGTGTTTGATTAGGATTGTAATTTTGAGATAACTGTTTTATAAATTATTTCATGTGGACTGTCTGAACTTGTCGGTGAACTCAGGAGTGATTTTAGATCAGCAGTTTACAGTAAAGTCTCAGGTTAGGTAACGGAAGCAAGCTGAATGATGGTTGTCCATATTTATTATGATCTACCTCGCACAGTACAATCAGATGGTGCAGTCTGAATTGACTAAGCACTGTTTATGAAATGTTTCAATGTACTTAAGCACATTATTATAGTCATTAGAAGTTGTGATTGGAGAAAATTGATTTGTTGATGTTGTTATTCAGGAGCAGTGCTTTTTTTTTGCTATATTGAGCAGTTTATAAGTTTAAATTGCTCTTGTCTTCCAGGTTTGCTGGAGAAGATGTTGGGAAGGCCACCACTAAGGTAGGATTAAAGGTGACTCGTTCTGTTTACGGTTACTTAATCTCTTCCAATATGGATACAATTCTCCAACATATATAAATATTGGTGTATTTTAATGGTGAATTGTTTTACATAATATATGAGAAGGGTATATTGTTAATGCTAGGAGTATAATTTACCTGATTTGCATTTCCTCTTGTGAAATTCAGGAAATCCATATTTGGGAGTTATCAAGTGTACTTGACTCGTGAGAATAAATGTCATATCTTTCCAGTATTCCCACAGCACAGCTTTAAGTAGATTATCGTGATCAATATTGGATGTGATACAATGCTTCTATCAATTATTTAGTTATTGAGGGAACCTTTGCAGTCATAGAGTCATACAGCATGGAAACAGACATTTCAGTCCAACCAGTCCATAATCCCAAACTAATCTAGTCCCACCTGCCTAGTCTTGGCCCAATTCCCTCCAAACCCTTCCGATTCATATACTTATCCAAGTGTCTTTTAAATGACGTAATTGTAACTGCATCCACCACTTCCTCAGGAAGTTCATTCCACACATGAACCACTCTCTGTAAAAAAGTTTGCCCCTCACATCTTTTTTAAATCTCTCTCCTTGCAACGTAAAAATGTGCCCCTTATTCTTGAAATCCCTCGTTCTAGGGAAAAGACAACCTACCATCAACCCTGTCTATACCCCTCATTATTTTATAAACTTCTATAAGGTTGCCTCTCAAACGTAGAATTTACATACAATCTTCTAAAGAAAAATTGAATTATCAATAAAAAACAGAAAAGGGTGGAAATGGTCAATAGGTCAGCCACATCCATGGAGAAAGAAACACAACTGATATTTCATATTGATGACCTTTTTAATCAGAACTATATACTGTTTCTCATGGGGAGGTTTTTCAGAATGTGGCCATAAAAATGTTGGTGGTGAATGCTTTCCCTTCAATGTTAGCAGCTCAACTGCAAGTTAATACTTTTGTGAAGTGGGATTTCTATTCCTCACTCAGCTTCACGAGATTGGCACCTCAGTTTCAGGTATGCTGAGTGAGCTGCCACACTCTTCATTGAACCAGGATAGATCTCCAAAATTGACGGTAATGATAGAGTGGGTTATATGCCAAACTATGAGCTTGTGGATGCTTGGTTTTGAGCTGCAAGATCTGGTCAAAGTCCTTCACTTTAAGAGCAATGCTAGTGCCACACAATACGATGCATGGAACAGAATGCAATTAACATGGCTAAGCAGTCCCACAACCAACAAATCGGACCTAAAGTCCACCCTCCTGCCACATCTAGTTATGAATGGTCTCGAACAATTCAACCACAAACAGGAGGAGGAGACTCATAAAATATTCCCATTGCCAATGATGGGGAAGCCCAGCGCATCAGTGCAAAAGACAAGGCTGAAGTATTTGCATTCATTTTCAGACCGAAATATTGACTGGATGATTCATCTCAGCGTCTTCCTGAAATCCCCAGCATTACAGATACTAGTTTTCATCTAATTAGTTTCACTCATACTGATATCAAAAAGTGGCTGAAGCCATTGGATACTTCAAAGCTAAGGACAACATTTAGGCTTGTATTCCAGGATTAGCTGCACTTTTAACTAAGCTGTTCCAAAGCATTTATAGCACTGGCTTCGACCCAACAACGTGGAAATTTGTCCAGGAATGTCTTGAGCACAAAATGCAGACTGCAAGCAATCTGATAAGAATGCAAACTGGTAGGTTGCTGCCATTTCAGTCTACTCTCAAACATCAGTAAACTGATGGAATTTGTCAACAACAGTGCTATGAAGCAGCACTTCCAATGGAATAACCTGCTCACTGTCACTCAGCTGAGTTTCACCAGGATCACTCAGCTCCTGAACTCATTACAGCCTTGGGCCAAACGTGGATAAAAGAGCTGAATTCCAGAGATGAAGTGAGAGTGACAGCCCTTGACATCAAGACTACATTTGTCTGAGTTTGGATGGAGCCCTAGCAGAACTGGAGTCATTGGGAATCTGAGGGAAAACTCTCTGCTTGATTGAATCCTACCTGGCACAAAGGGGAATGGCTGTGGTTTTCAGAGATCAGTCATTTCAGTTCCAGGACATCATCGGAGGGGCTAGTCATGTAGTGCCTCTGCATTGTAAGGTCAACAATTGCTGAATCACCACAGTGTTATCATCAACCTGACACTGAACTGGCCACCAGAGCAGTTAAAAGTTTAGGAATCATGTGACAAATAACTCACCTCCAGTCTATTACCTGTCCCCCATCAGCAAAACATTAGTCAGCACAGTGATGGAAAACTCTCCATCTTGCCTGGATTAGTGCAGCTCCAACAACACTCAACACGCTCGACACCATCCAGGATAAAGCCATCAGTTTGACTGGTATCCTGTCTAATACCTTCAGCATTCATTCCCCTCACTGCTGATGCACAATGGCAGCAATGTATATCATCTACAAGATGCACTGCAGTAACTCACCAAGGGGTTCCTTAGATTGCACCTTCTAAATTCACAACTTCAACAGTCTAGAAGGACAAGGGTGGTAAACGCATAAGAACACTGCCACTTGCAAGTTCTGCTCCATGTCACACACCATCCTGACTTGGAACTACATTGCCATTCCTTCATGGTCACTGGGTCAAAGTCCTGGAACTCCCTTTCTAGCATCACTGACAGTTTCCTACACCCAAGACTGCAGCGGTTTCAGGAGGAAGCTCAACATAATATATTTCCAAGTCAGGATGGTGTGTGGCTTGGAGGGGAATTGAGAAGGTGGTCATGTTCCCATTGATCTGCTGCTCTTGTCCTTCTAGATGGAAGTGGTTGTGGGTTTGAAAATAAAATACAGTTCAGCATATGGATACTAAAAACAAATGCTCTTCCACCTAACCACTTCCCAAAGAAAAATCTAAGCTTTGTTATCAAATGAGACGGTCACCCAATGAAGGAAACAATCAGTTACATTACATGAACTGAAGAAGTTCCATTACCATTGTTCTGAAGAATGTGTCATTATTAAAGCAGACTGAATAAAACAAATTTTGTTTCTATTCAGGGGGATTATGGATTATTAGCAGTGATTTGAAAATCATATTAAGCACTGTAGAATCTAGCCAGTAGTTTTGGAAATGACAGTGTTTGGTGACTTTGTTAAACATATCAGTCTCAGGTTGAAGTAAAATCGTTGTGATGGGAACATAAGTAATACAGGTATTTTTCAAGGATAGTAAAGAGCTTTCCCATGATCTTTAAGATCAAATTACAAAGTCTCTGATAAAGTTTTGTTTTTGATTATATTATTGAATTATTTTTGGATTCATTTGAGTTTTTTTCCCGCTACATCTCTCCTTTTCACTCCCGCCCCCTCCCAGCCCTCCCCATCCCTGTCCTGCACCTAGTCTCATTGATCTGCCATTTGCTATCTTGTCTACAAAATACAAATCAAATACAAGTGTACCCAAGTGCGATTTATGCTGGGTTTCAAGTGTGTAGTCACTAACAAGGCCCTGCTTTTAATTAAGTTTAATTATTTATTACAGTTCACACCGTCGTTCCTTCTAATGAGTTTGTAATTATCTGTAACAGCATACGTATCTTGGATAAATGTGATGTAGTCAAGAGATTTTATGAATTGATTTCATGCGGATAGTATTAAAATTAATGTTACATTCACTGTTTTCTGGATTAAAACAAAAAAAGCACTTTTTCAAAAGTGTGATAAGAATCTTTTTTCATCACCAGATTCCTGTTTTTTTCCTTTCATCATTTTACTCCTTTCCCCATAAGCATCTCTTTGGTTAAGTGATCCTGGATCAAAGATTTACTCCTGGCAGCTAAAGGCTCTGGTTTTTGAAATCCTTTTGGGCTCTGTGAAAGTAACTAGCAGCATATGGTTTCAGAATGATTGTCAGGTACGCTGACGAACATGGGTAAATATCATTGGATGTCTAACAGGATGCCATACACCTGAAGACTCTAACTTTGCTCCTTCCAGCAGACTATAATGAGTATATCTGCTTTCCATTGTTTAAAAACAAAGTTAGTCACTAAATTCAACATTTAGGGGCTGATATCACAGTCTACTCTACACGCGAAATGGCACTTCATTTGCTGTAAAAGCATCGCATAAAGGCAAGTCTTACTTTCTTTTCTTTCACCTATTACCCAACCACACAGGGATATACATATTTTAGTAGAACACACCAATACTCTGTATTGCTGCCAAACCAGTGCATTTGTTCTGCCTCTCAAGAAATGAAATGAGGAGCAAACTCCTTAAGCATTCATCTGCACAAAGTAATTGCCTGCTGCATGTTCACAGAACCATATCAACTGGCTGATATCCAGGTTCTTCTACTGCATGAGTAAGGCAAAATAAAAACTAAAAGGACTGCGGATGCTCTAAATCAGGAACAAAAATAGAAGTTGCTGGAAAAGCTCAGCAGGTCTGGCAGCATCTGTGAAGGAAAAAAACAGAGTTAACGTTTCAGGTCCGGTAAGGCAATGTCACTTCTTCACCTGTGACATGGCATTGGCTCTTTGTGGGGCAGGATTGGTGTGGTACGTGAGGGTTTCTACCATCTTGGATAACTAACAATCAAGGACAGCATTATCTCTTTATAGATTTGAAAATTAGGGTAACTGTTTAACAGAGACAACAAGGTGCAGGGCTGGATGAACACAGCAGGCCAAACAGCATCATAGGAGCAGAGAGGCTGACGTTTCGGGCCTAGACCCTTCATCAGAAAAGGGGGAGGGGAAGGGCGTTCTGAAATAAATAGGGAGAGAGTGGGAGGCAGATAGAAGAGGGATAGAGGAGAGGATAGGTGGAGAGGAAACAAACAGGTTGAAGAGGCGGGGATGGAGCCAGTAAAGGTGAGTGTAGGTAGGGAGTTAGGAAGGGGATAGGTCAGTCCAGGGAGGACGGACAGGTCAAGGGGGCGGGATGAGGTTGGTCGGTAGGAGATGGAGGTGCGGCTTGAGGTGGGAGGAGGGGATAGGTG